TGGGGAAAAAAAAAAAAAAAAAAAAAAAAAAAAAAAAAAAAAAAAAAAAAGCTCTCCTATTCATCAGAGTGCTGTTGTCATGACGTATGTGCTGTAAAATTCTGTTTCCTAGCCAGATCACTTTTCTCTGAACACACAGGTCTTTTTGGGGCCTGCTCTTACTCCTGTCTTAACTACCAAGTATTGGCCATTTAGAGCATGGTGATCAATGCTGATCAATGCATCCTCATTTCCTCTGGCACAGCCAGGTGGGGCTCTTATGTGAATCAATTTTCAGAAGATGCAAATGCTCCACCGCCTAGAGGTGCTGTGGGATGAGCTTTCCCCAAAGACCTGGAAGAGATTTGTGCCGAGTGCTAACTGAAGAGGGGCCCTGCACTTCTGGAAATGGCTGAGATTGGTCTGCCCAGGGCCCTGAGAAGCCGTCTAAGACAGCTGAGGACAAGAGAGTGGAGAGGGGCCATCACTGGCTGGAAAGGGGCACGGATGGGAACAGCTTGATACATGTGTCCTCTGTGCCATTGTAGGGGGTTATATGTGTGAAAGGACTTAGTAACTGGATTGGAAAATGGAAAACATCTCTGGCATTGAAATCTTGAAATACTTTATTTCTGTGTCTTTACATGTGTGGTGCGTGCACATGTGCGTAGAAACCAAAGGTGGACATTAGGGGGTCATCCTCCATCACTCTTCACCTTATTCTTTGAGACAGGGTCTCACTGAACCTGGAGCTCACCAACGGGTCAGTGTGCCCTGATGCCCAGCGATCACAGTCCCAGCACTGCCTGTATTTTCATCAGCTCCCGGGCTCTCATGTTTGTGTGACAAACACTTCACTGTCTGAGCCAGTTCCTAAGCCCTCCATCTTGAAGTTCTTAATCTCTGAACAAGGGGCTCTGCCTTTACTTTGTGCTCTGGGATCTACAAGCTGAGTGTCCTGTCCTGGCTGCGTAATCAGGGATGGGCTGCCTTAGAATCAAACCTGACAAAGAATTGTGTCTTTATAGTGATGGGGCCAAAAGAAGGATATCACGGAGCTAATGCAGGCCTCCACCTCCACTCAACACTTCTGGCCAGCAAGGCATTACCCATTAAAGACAGGGATGGGAGCTAGAGGCTAAAGGAGTGGAAGCTGGAGCCAGTACCATCGTTTATAGCTCAGGGAATGCTAGTAAAGACAGTACTGTGGATTAGGCACAGCAAAGCACTGCATGGACTAAAGCCAAAGGAAAGAGAAAGCAGAAGGACTCATGGTAGAGAGATGGGCAAGGAAGACGGCTCCGCTGGTAGTGCTTGGTGTGCAAACATGAGGACCTGAGTTCAGATCCCCAGCACCCATGTAAAAAGCCAGGCATGGTGGGCATGCCTGGAATAGTAGTGCTGGAGAGGTGGATTCCCCGTGCTTACTGGCCAGTTAGTCGAGCTGCTTTGGTTATCTCCAGGTTCAGTTTGCCGTAAGATAAAATGGAGAGCAATTGAAGAAGATACTTAATATCAATCTCTAGCTTTCATGTGCACAGGTGTGCAAATATACATGAACATATACATATACCACACACACCAAAATCAGGAAAGGGGTAGCATGATGGGTCATAAGGAGTTAAGAGGGGTCTGCTCCCAGGTTGACTTTGTTACAGCACGAGGACAGTAGTGCTATTGTCCAGGCATAAAGCAAGGACAGGGTCCAGGAAGGAAGCAGGCCACCACTGCTACTCTGGCTCCCAGGGAACATGAAAACGAAGAGGGCAACAAAGACACTCCACCATGGTTCATCCGTGGATCAGACTCAGGATCCAGAGAAAGACCCTCACTGAATAGGGGAGACCCAGCTCTCAGCCTGAGACTAAAAACAGGCAGAATTCCCGAAGTCCTCTGAGCTTGCCTCCTCCTCCTCCTCCTCCTCCTCCTCCTCCTCCTCCTCCTCTTCCTCTTCCTCCTTCTTCTCCTCCTTCTCCTTCTCCTCCTCCTCCTTCTCCTTCTCCTTCTCCTTCTCCTTCTCCTTCTCCTCTTCTTCCTCCTCTTCCTTCTTCACCTTTTTGCTCATGGACTTTGCCAAGGCCTCTCTGAAACAGGAACTGGGTGCAGCTCCCAGGATAATGATCGGTCAGGATCTGAAGTTGTGTTGAGGGCTCTTTTTCCACTACAGAGAACCTGGAAACCATGCTTACCACGTGGGCTGACAGGTGTGTGGTCCAGCCAGGGGTGAGCATGAAGAGCAGGTCTGAAGGGAATGAGATTGCAAGTGGTTTGATCGTGTAAACCAGAACTATGTGTTTTCCAGTATGGCTGGACTACATAACTAGAAAGGGGCGAGGCAGGAGACCTACGAAGCAGGCAAAAGCTTTTCACCAAGGACAAAAGGCCACATATGCCATAGGGAGGTCTGTCTATGTCTTTCCCTTTCCCCAAAGGACATGATGGGTGTTCTGTAAAGAATGAGGGATAGGTGGCAAGATGAGGCACCCTTTGGCAAAATCCCAGAAGGGCCCCTTCTGTGAATACTAAAAGTAATTGCATACAGAGAAGTCACACTGGGTACCAGGCAGGCTGCGGAGAATCCAAAGAGCGGAATTGAGGCTGGCTCTAGCTTATTGAAGAGTACGCTTGTCTCTATCCTCTTTGGGACTCTAGCACTTAAGGACAGAAGGGGCCTCCCAGCCCTTCAACTCAATACTTTCGAAAAAATTTAAGTGTTAATTAATTCACTTATTTGGTGTGTGTGTGGGGGGTGGGGGTGTACTGCTGGTGTACATGTGGACGTCAAAGGACAACCTGTAAGAGTAAGGCCTCTCCTACCATGTGGGCTCTGGGAACTGAATTCAGGTTATCAGGCTTGGCCACATGTGTCTTTACCAGCTGAGCCACCGAGTCACCCATCTCAAACTCTCCTTGCTACCATTCTCAATTGCCCTACTTTTCTGTCTTTGGGCTTCAGGCTGCCTGGCAGAAGATGGAGAGAAGTGAAGGTGGGATGGGGACTAGGGGCTGGGGTGAAAGAGCTCATAGCATGTGCTGTGAGGTTGAAGGCCTCTCTGTTGGGGCAGCTGGGCAGTCAGAGCCAGAGATGCTGGGGTCTGGGGTTGTTAACGATGAACCATCTGTAGGATGCTGATGGACCTATGAATCGTGAAGCAGAGCAGACAGCGTAGGGCATTCTCTAAACTTATCAGTCCTGGTATCCTGCAGGATTAAGGTTTTAGAGAATCTCTCCAGCTAAGGACACTCAAGAACAGTGAGGGCCGGGTGAGGATTTAAGGAGAAAGGTGACCTGATCAGATTGCAGTTTTGTGTGTGTGTGTGTGTGTGTGTGTGTGTGTGTGTGTGTGTATTATAGGAACCAAACTAAAAAGTCATCATTCTGGGCTGCGGAGGTAAGGGACTAAAGCAGGTGACCATCCAGTCATTTCCCTCATGCCTCACACAAGAGATCTCCCCAGTACTGGGGTGCTTGGGGAGGTGTGTCTCTCAGGGGCTGGAGCTCAGGCCTGCATCCTCTCTCCAAGACCTCTTTGTTCCTCTGCTGGCCCCTTGGCTTACTCCCTGTTGCCAGCCTCTCCCAGGCCACTGACCTGCATTGCATCTCTGCAGGGACATTTCTGTTGAGCTTTGCTATTTTTTACTTGGAGGCATGCCAAGTCCCCTCCACCCCCCTCACTTCCCTATCTCCT